GAACGACTCGTAACATGTTTCTTATAGGTTTTCGACAATGCTCTTTCCAGTGGCATCATTTTTAAATATTGAGAAAGTTTTCTGAAGGGTTTTCCAGAGACTGCATCTCTGAAAAACTCCTTAAAAAAGCTTTCCAAAGCCCAACCCTCATGCCATTAGAAAGAGGATCATGAAAAACCTATAAAAAAATGGTTCATGAAATTTTAGTTCACTCATAAAGCTAAAGTCCGCCTGCTCTAGCAAAAAATGCCCACTGTGATTTGATTGCACTATGTTCTCGAAGAAAAGTCCGAGTAAAACTTAGTGGAATCAATCGTAGATAACAAAACGGTGACTGGATTAACAATTTAAATTAGCAGTATACGACGAAAAACGAGCTTTTTCACAGTTTTGTAGTTTAAAGTTCTGTCTTTCATCTATCGTATGTAAAATCACAGTTAATGTATGTGTATCCGTAGCTTAGCAGTTGAGCGTTTTTTCGAATTGATAATTTGACATGACGTAGTGTGGCCAATTTTAACATCAATTTGTTACAAGCTACATTAATAAGACAAAACGTTTTAAATCAAAATTTTCTTCCCTTCCTTTCATTTTATCTAGCTTCTTTTCCTTCTGCTTCTTCTTGTTCTCTCTTGTTCTTGTTCTTTTACATCGTTGTTATGTATGTATTTCTCCTTTTTTGTGTGTGCTGTGTGATTTACCTTTCTGTTTAATGTGAATGTTCTGTTCATTCTGCCATGTTTGTTTTATTCATGTGAATATATGCGGTAGGTGTGTGTCTTTTACTTACTATTTATACTAGCGATTTTTGCTTGTTGAACAGTAAAAATGATGTTACGGGTCTATTCCTCTATCTTTTGTCCACTCTACGTTTATTCGATGAAAGTACTTTTCTTTTCTATTTTACAAATAAAGCGTAAACCTGGTTTAATCAGCATCCACAATGTTTTGACATTTCAAACAAAAAATAATTTATTTTTCAGTATTTTATAAAGAAAGAAGAAATCTCGTTCTATTTCGATCAGTTTGCTGTAAACAATTCAAACGCTTCAGTTAGCGACAGTAATCGACATCGTACAGCATTTTTCTGTTTAACATTAATTGTATCTTGAGAAATTTTTCGAAGATGATAGTAAGAAAGCTGAACGATTTCCATTCATGTTAATGTCATTAACTAAAGTGTTTGAATTATTTAAAGTAAAATGTTGGAGAAACAGAATTACATGAAAATTTCATGTAAGGCAAAGAGAAACAAGCAAACAGCAAACAAATTACAGATTTCACGAAAATTTGTTTTAGAAGAATGCTTTATTCACTATGATAACCACCTGATATTTCCTTTCTGCTCTATGGGAAGCCTATGGGTATATGATCATTGGCTCACATCTCACGCTTTTTACCTTCTCTTCAAGTTAAAAGAAACAGCTTTTCGATAAATTCTCGTCTCTTACTCTTACTTTAAGTCTAGCCAGTAATTCAAGCAGAAACTGCGGAGTTAAAAGAATAAAATTTATTTAAAGTGAGAAAAGTAGAAGAGAAAAATGTAACAGTAGATATAGATGTTGTGCCTTGTTTTCTTTTTAACTTTTGATATTTCTTCTTTCTTGTTCAAGATTCCAGTAACAAATATTTCATGTCAAAACGAAGAATGACTCATAGTTTCACAAATTTTGAAAGTTTCTCTGTTCACTTCCACTTCATGCTCTATTCACTTTGTTTAAAAATAACTTATAAACAGATGCTTTCACGATAAATGAAAGTTTGTAAAAACGAAAAAAAATGAATTGCCACAAGACATTTTCTTTTCCATTTCGTTGCGCGTTTACACATGAAAGGAAAGGGAAGAAAAATGTATAGCGTAGGTTAGTGAACTTTTACGAAACACGATCTCATTTTTAAATTAGAGACTACTTTACCGATGATTTATTTTTATGCATGCATCAGATTCATTGAGAACTCAAGTAGTGTATGCATAACTTTAATTTGAACTTTGCTTTATTCAACAGTAAAAACTAATTTATGCAACACTTTTATATTTTCAGTCATTGGAATACTTTTATGAATAATGAGATTAGAAAAATGTTTCATAAAGAAGTATCATGCAATTGTTATATCCCTGTTGTTATTGGCATGCTTTTCAACGTATACATTCTTTCAACTCGATCACTCTCCAAGGTTGTTAACATCGTCACTTACAATTGGCGACAACAACTTATCTGAGAGTGAAGCCACTCTTGTTACAGCTCTTTATGACATTGGTCGAGAAAAGCAAGGTCGCTCAATGGCTACTTATCTTAAATGGTTTTCAAAAACTTTAACACTCAATGCACCTTTCATTATATTCATTCCATCATCACTCGAGACTCAAGTTCGTGCCATGCGTCGAGGCAATTCTTATACACATTTTATCGTTCGAGACACATTTCCTCTCGATGCGTTCTCCCATCTGGTCAAAATGCACATTCTTAAATCATCGTTTCGTAAGAAAATACGTAAACCTAAAGATATCACTATGATCAATCCTCGCTATGCTCTTGTTCAACATTCAAAAATGTTTTGGATGGCAGAAGCGATCAAGTTAAATCCATTTCAAACTCAAACATTTTTTTGGATGGATGCCGGTTATTCACGATTTATTCCAGACAAAGCATTTGTAAAACCATTTCCAGTTTCATCTAAAGTTGACTGGCTTGTACGCGAAAAGAAAATGTATGTCGGAGTTGCACGAGCTACTAAGAAGGAAATGGATAAGATGACTGAAATAACACTGGACGATGCGGTGGGTACAAGTAAATCGTTTTTTGAAGGTAACATGTGGGGTGGATGGGGAGAAGCGGTTTATCAAATGGCAACAACAACGTTATCCTTGTTCTTTGAAGCACTCTCACTTAATTCGATCGACAACGAACAGGTGACCATGTTTCTGGCGTACAAAAAACATCCATCAACATTTGCCTATGTTAAAGTCAAAAATGCAGACGCAGGCTTCACATACATGAGCACAGAGGAATAAATTTCAGTGTAATCAAATAAATATTTTTAGCAAAAGATCGAAGATCAGATTTGCTCATATTCAACTTACTCCCTGTGTATTTATTGACTTTCTTGTGTACAAATATAACTGAACTTTTTATCATTAGTTTATTCAAATCGAGCAAAGATTTCTGGACGAAATGAGACGTCTCCGAGCTCTCTAAGAACTTTTTCATGAAACAGCATTGAACTTACGGAAGGTCTCAAGAGCATATTTTTCTTGTTTGCCCATTAATTGTCCCGATTTTAGTGGTATGGGACCTTCCGTAAATTGAATGCTGTACTAATGAAACTAATGGTAAAAAGTTCAATTATATTTGTACACAAGAAAGTCAATAAATACTCAGAGGGTAAGTTTTGTTCGGATCACTCTGTATAAGACGATGTTAAACTTCTCTGTTGAGGCTATCTAATGCCATAAAGATATAAATTGAATAAATAATTAACAGTGGAGGTACCCGTCGTCATCGCCTTAACAGTTTTTTGTGAAACTTTTTGCGTCTGTAAATGTTTTTTACTTTGCAATATTTATATAAAAATAACAGGATGTTAGTGGAATGCATTTCCCACTATCCTCAGATTTCTGAACGATTCAAACTTTGCTAAATGCTGTTCTCGTGTATCTTATCAATGATGTGAACGCGAAACAGCGTAGTCCTTTTTACAGTTAAGCAGAAGACTTCCATAACGATTTTGCCACGTAACTCTGCCGCCGCAATGTGATTCCATCATGGTTTTTCTGTATTTTGTTTCTTTTACAGTTTTCGAATCAAAACAGTTCCAGAGCTCTAAACCATTTTCAATTGAAGAGAAAAGTGCGCTCGGTATTTTGAGGACACGTGACGGAATCACACGTCTATAGCAGAGTTACATGATGAAACGGATAAAACTGTAGTTTAATAGGTAAAAACTGTTTTTTCTGTAAAGAAGCAATTTTTTTTGGAAAACAACAGGGAAGAAGATTGTACCTAACTTTGGTCGATAGATGTAATCGTGCAGTAAACTGACAGTTCAGCTGTGAGGTGTAATGTCGACTCTAACTGAAAGTTGTTAGAAATATGTTATCAGATATTGACGAACCACTAGGAAGCCCTTGCGAAAAAATTTAAAATTGCGCAACATCCAAAACTTTTTCAAAAAAGAGCGGCGATGCCCTTAATAGATAGAGCACATGTACATAAATATAATAGGGCTATAACTTCTTTTCTTTTTATCTGTTGTGGTTGTTTATATTTCGTCTTTTTATTTTTCTTCTTTTATACTTACTTGTTACTCCTTGTTAGCTTAAAGATTCACGACAGTATACTATAGTATTTCGTCGTATTTTGATGTAAACCCGGTCAACGTATTACGCCCATCGTAAACGACGTCGTTTATGTCCAAATACGACGAAATACGACGGGCGTAACGGCTGACGTAATGCGTTGGACGGGTTTACGTCAAAATATGATGAAATACTAAAGTATACGCCAAATTACATCGTCGTAATTTGACGTATACGACCGTATAGGATGGTCGTAATCATGGACCTAGGTTGTAATTATTACTCTGTCACTTTCCCTCTCTAACTTCTATGCTATTCTTATTTTTCTTATATTAGACGACGGTTCTACGGATCAGTAATTTAATTATCAAACATTATCAAACATTTAATGTTTTGTACTGACAGATGGCGTCAGCGACCTGGTTCATTTAACAGAGGTTCTTTTCCTTTGAATTTGGTGTGGAAATCTCGAAAACCACCTAGATATACTCAGAAATGTCCCAGCTTTCCGATACACAACAGAAATCCGCTTCAAATTAGTGTTTTCAGGTCAAAACCGTATTTTGTACGATTTTCTGGAAAATCTGAGTTTGGAAAACCGGATTTTCTCAAAATGGCTAAACTTTGGAAAACACATTTTACCATCTTTTGATAGAGCAGTGAAAACTGTACACATCTATGTTATTCTGGTACTGTTACGTCTTATCCTATTGGAGGAAAGTCAAATGATAAGGCCGAAAAACAGGTTTTTCACGAATTTTCGACCTCAAGTGGCTTTTTTGACCTGAAAGCACTAAGTTGAAGCAGATTTCTCTTCTGTATCGGAAAGCTGGGGCATTTCTGAGTATATCTAGGTGGTTTTCAAGGTTTCCATACCAAATCCAACGGAAAAGAACCTCTGTTTAATGAACCAGGTCGCTGACGCCATCTATCAGTAAAATAGATTTTTTTCGATCAAAACTTAATCATTTTCCAGTTTTGACCTGATATTCACAATCAGCATCAAATTCTGCATCGAATAAAGTATCTTTAGAAAAATTCTGATTAAAAACTTTTTTCGATGTTTCAAAGGTGGAATAGGGTGCATCTCTAGTCTTGATTTTCTTATTCTCTATTTTTCTTCTTTTATACTTACTTGTTACTCTTTTGTTGTTATCACTTTGTCACCTTCGCCTCTAACTTCTGTGTTATTCATATTTTTCTTATATTAGACGACGCTCCTACGGAGCAGTAATTTAATTATCAAACATTTAATGTTTTCCCTATTATGTGAGAACTCCCTATTATGTAGAACAAAATTGTATATCTGAAAGTGTATCACATAATGACAAGGTACCTCATAAATCCTCTTAGATTCCATGTCGTTCGCAAAAATGTCGGTGTGCCTCAAAAAAGACTTGCCCCCTATTTGTAATATTGTCGATGATATCCACGTTTTACCTGATAGATTTGGTAGCTAATATAGAAGGTCGCGATCACTAAATTTTGACTGAAATATGATGAGCCGAGTTTTATCTGGCGGTAATGTCTCGATAAAGCCGTTATCTCGCTCATGCTATTTCTTTGAAAAAATTTTCATGCTTTGAACTGCAACGTCTGGGCCATCTAGGAACGATATTTAAGCTGAAACTCTATTGTACTCTCGAACTATGACGATCTCCTTGATTTTGCTTCGAACGGTACACCGTTATAGATTTTAGCAGAACCTCACTTTTTCATAGAATTATGTCCACCGGCGTCCTCGTTTGGGAACCGAAAATCGCAAGACTATCGCTTTTTCTTCGAAAAATCCATGTTTTCAAATGAATAGTAGAAGTGTGAGATTTTGTGCAGAGATGTTTTAATGTGTTGTTCACTCTCCTATTGCTGCGCCGCAGTGCACTGTCTATTACGGATGGTCCTTGGGTGAAAACGCTTTCTTCCGTTCTGTCTTCCATCTATCGTATGTAAAAACCACAGTTAATGTATGTGTATCCGTAGCTTAGCAGTTGAGCATTTTTTTGAATTGATAATTTGACATGACGTAGTGTGGCCAATTATAACATCAACAATTTGTTACAAGCTACATTAATAAGACAAAACGTTTTTAAATCAAAATTTTCTCCTTCCTTTCATTTTATCTAGCTTCTTCTCCTTCTGCTTCTTCTTGTTCTTTTACATCGTTGTTATGTATGTATTTCTCCTTTTTTGTGTGTGCTGTGTGATTTACCTTTCTGTTTAATGTGAATGTTCTGTTCATTCTGCCATGTTTGTTTTATTCATGTGAATACATGCGGTAGGTGTGTCATAATAAAATTTATTTAAAGGAACTAGAGTGAGAAAAGTAGAAGAAGAAAAACGTAACAGTAGATATAAATGGTGTGTTTTGTTTTCTTTTTAACTTTTCTAGTTTTTCAAAATTCTAGTTTTCCATTTTTAATAAACTTCAATATTAATGTGAGTACAAGCACAGTAGTACAAAAATTATTTGCGAGCTTCCGAAGCTCCACGAATGCAGTTACTGCTAAAATATCCACAAATAACCAGAGATCAGTTAGAACTAGGCGTAAAAGTTACCAGTGGAGAGCGACGGGGTAGGATTGGTCATAACCTTGGGATTTGCCTTGGGATTATAATCGTAAACTCGTATCATATTATTTTAAGAAAGCTGAAAAAACCATCAAAAACTAGAAAAATCAAATTTTATGGGGTTGATAGTTTCAAAGTATTGAGTTAGGACAAATCGTATCTTATGGGACCTGAAAAGCCATGTGGGATAGGTACGAAAAATATACGAAAGCGACCTTGGGAATTCGAGATTATAAAAGAAAACGAGCGGAAAACAGGCAAAAATTGCGAAATCCCCACCGATTTAAATTAGAACTTCTAGTAGTTCGTTCAAATACAATTTTACGTCGATTATTTAAAAACTGTTATCATCAATTCTTTGGCCAGTCGTGGGATAATTCAACAACCTGTGACACTAAGTTTTATACCAATATTTTTAGTAAAAATAAAAGCAGGTTTAATTTAACAGCAGTTCAAAAACATCAGTTCGAAGTGGTAATTCAAATGATTGGGATCATACAACGTTGACTACACTTTTATTGAATACTAGTAGACTAAAAACATTGAATCAAATTGAAGAACAACAGCTCGATAGTGAAGATAAGCTATTAGTTCAAGTTAGAGAAATTAGTGGTCAGTTAGCACATCATCCAACGAGAAATGTATCGGGTGATGAATTTAATCAGTTATGGCAACAATTGAGATCTATTCTAGTTCACTTCGGCGAGGCTGATTCTGAACTTGATAAATTAAAAGATAATATTGAAGTTAAGTCGTCTATAGAAACAACAATAGACAGTGGAAACGTTAAGGAAGCCTTACCTGAACACGATCGCGCTATATTCTATTAAAATATGTCTGCAAGTCGTCGATCTTTGTACACGTAAGCCCAACCTGTCACAGTTGGACTATGTGACAAAATAACGGCGAATGGTGAACGTTACCGCATACTACAAGACGCAAAATAAGCACGTAATCTACATGGTGAAAGCACATTATCGTGTTGAAGAGGTATATTCTTTATTGAATGAACATGAAAAAGCCATCATTCATTTAAACGTGCCTTGGCACTCGATCCGTTGAATAATGAAATAAAACAAGCTTTAAATGATAGTCGATCTACTCTCTAAAAAGAAAAGGTTTATTACGAAACTTAAAACGGTATAGAGACGCGCAATCATTTCTAAACCCTTTTAGGTTTCGTAGAAGACAAGGTGCAGTACGAAACCGCTTAAGTGCATAAATTCGAGGAGTTTTTTTCTAAAAAAATTTTTTCGGAGAAAGTGGACCATTTCAGCAGCTTATGCGTGTTTTCATGTATATCTATAGGCACTGCAGAATAAAAACAGTGATAGAGACAACAGCAAGTATAATTTATTCATTTGTGCATCTAGTAGACTAATACAATTCAAGGTCAGGTCCTCTATTATGTAGTACCACAAAGAATATCAATAGGTGTAAAATTCTTGTAGTTAGCGTTCTCTCACCTACCAAATATGGAATCAATTTTCGTAATTAGTAATTAAATTAATGAGTTCCAAAAAATCTTTTCAAGATCTTGTCACAGAATTTTCAAGGTATGTCAGACTCGGCTCCGTACTAAATATTGATCAAGAAATTTCAAGAAGCAAAATCTTTAAAGAACTTGTGCAGATTTTGACTTTCTGCAGGACATGAGACTCTTCTGTACTGTAAGAAACAAAGTTTATTATAGGCATATTAGCAATGGACGTTAAGCCAGTATCATTTAACTGTTCAGAATGCAGCTAATCAGTCTGTTTATATACTTAGATCTAGGCGTTTTTGTAGCGAAGGTGCCTCTAAATCATAGATCGCTTATTCGAAACTTACGACATCAATCTTCTTTATCTCTATTTCTTTATCGACTTTTAGCTGAAAATGGAAGCATTCATATTTTCAAACATACTAATCATGATTTTTAAATTAAATTTTCGTTTTCTGTCCTTTTTGAGGTTAAAAATTCAATCACAAAATTTTCCTGATACATTTAAAACATTTAGGCCATTCACACAGTTTATTTTTTACAGTGTAATCCAAACGCGAATGTTCAGTATTGCATAAACTTTTATTACTTATTGGAGTTTTATTACTCATTTGCGTTAAGGTTTATTCCATATTTGCACATGACAAATAAATATCAGTGATATATTACTCATGGGTTTTCCTTCACTATTGACTTACACTATATAAAGAGTCAGAAGAACAGAACAATGCATACACGTTCTTTCTTTCATACTATTTAAACATCAAGGTAATTGATATTTAGAGTTCTGTAAGTGAATAGCAGTTTTTATGTTTGTTTCCAAGCATGTCGTGTAGAAAATGTGGATGCAAACAATTCAACTGGAATCCAGTATCAGCCGTACAGAAACTCTTTTCTGGTTCTGAAATATCAGCAGATGTCTCAAATGGCAGAATGAGCGGGCAGGTGAAGGCCGGAACACTACCATTACAGGATAATAGATCGGACCAAGTTGCTTATAAAAATTGCACTTGCGGACATCATAAGAATTATCATGGATAACTGCCAGTTATGGATTTGTATGACCAGCTTTTTTTCCTATGACCATCGTAAATAAACGTTATACGGACTCTGAAATATCAGTGCTCTTACTTACTTACTTGATTACACTTGATTTACAATCAGCGCTAACTGGCACAACTGCAGCAGCAACATCAGAACAATCGCCATCAGTAACATCTATTTGTCAGAATCATACTCGTCCAACAACCGGTTTTTCCCACTCATCTCGATGCACTCTCGCCAACCATTTAAAAGAAAACAAAAAAATAGTTTACTTCGAATTTATTATCACAATTAGTAATAAATGATGATCATGATGATGCTAAATTTTCATTCATACTTGTCAATAAAAATTTATTTATCAAAAAATAATTTTCTGTCGATGATTGCATCGTATTTGTTTCGTCAATTGATAATAATTGAACACGACAGAGTTTAGTAATTAGTGATTTATGACGTTGATTTTGATATAACTCTTTTAATTAATTGTACAAATCTTCAATAAAAAGAATTCCAGTATTATTTATTCGTAAAGTTATTATTTATTCAACATCTTAAATAAAAATGTATTATGTGTATGGCACCAAAGAGCTTTCTCAGGGTAATAGGCTCGTTCAAATTCATAAATAATTTAAAAATTCCGAGAAGACGCAGTTGGTAATAAAATTTTGATCAATGAGTATAATACTGCGATAAAGTACATCTTGAAAATTCTGCTGAATTTTTCTTTTATTACTCGAGCTTTCGGTACGTTACTACGACCATTATCAAGAGCGAATAAAGTTAGAATAAATAGTTGAAAATTCATACAGTTGTGCATTTGAATGCGCATTCAAATGTATTATTCATTGAAGTTTTTTCTTCTTCCTTTCTGTACAACTGTATGAATTTTCAACTATTTATTCTAACTTTATTCGCTCTTGATAATGGTCGTAGTAACGTACCGAAAGCTCGAGTAATAAAAGAAAAATTCAGCAGAATTTTCAAGATGTACTTTATCGCAGTATTATACTCATTGATCAAAATCATATTTGTTTTTGTCTATCATTAACAACACATGTTTCTTTACAAAATTGAATCGATACTTGTCGATCATCTGGCGTTTGGTTCATTCATAATAAAACTTTAAACAATAGTTGTGACCATATGAAATCACCATTAAGATATGAAGTCGATTTATGTTGCTGGAATATTAAGATGGATATCGTACTGCATTCTTCAGTTTTTTCCCGTTGTCTTACCTCTATCCTGAAAGTTTCATGTCTGTATGTCATTCTCTGCAAGAGTTATAGTTTTTTCCTTCGTCTGAACAGGCAGACATTTATTATCTTAGTACCCAGACTTATAGTCAAGTGAATTATCTGATCGTGTTATTGTACAAAAGTTAAAAAAAACAACTTGTTTTCGGTTCTGGATATAATATTCCATTCTGGATAAATTACCAATAAACACATAAAAGCACTTTTGTTTCCTGCTTATAGACTAATAAGTAAACAAAAAAATATTTATAGAGCATGCAGAAACAAAGCCATGCGTATCTAAAACATCAGCACTGTGAAAAGTATTTTGTCTATTTAGTAATAGTTCAATCATCATCCCAATCCGTTGTTTTCTCTTTGATCGGTGGGTCAACATATGGATGCTGTTCAACATATTCAGGTACACTGCCCTTCCATTCGAGTAATTGCTGTAGCCACTTTTTCAAAGGACCATCATCTTCCAATGTGTGATCATCATAGATTTTTAATTTTGCCGATTCGTCACCTGTTGACTCAATGATGTCAAATAGTTTCCAGGTACGAGGATGAATGGATGTAAATTGTGGATTATCACGTACCTTTGTCTTATTATCGTCAATCATTAATGTTTGTTGACGCCAGTTTTCACCTGGTTGCTCTATTAACCATTTTTCTTCTAAATCTACACGTTTCCAGACTTCATCCAACACCTTGTAGAATGATGTTGATTGTTTTCCTGCCTCGTTTTTATTTGAATTTTCCTCCATGAGGCAATTTTCTTGATGCCACCAGAATAATAATTTCGAACGGTCATCTTCAGTCGGTAATAAAGTTTCAAGCAATGGTTCCATATTGTGTTTTTGCACCGATGACCATATGGCTACATTAAAATGTTCTAAGCACCAGGAAATAAACTGTTGCACGTTGGGTCGAAACCAAATACAAAAATTACCTTTGAAGCGAGGTTGCGTTAGAGTAAAATTGTTAAATTCATTTTGAAATAACTTTTGATATTTTATATAATCTTTTTTATATATGCGATGTATAAGAATACCATTCAAATCCAATATTAATAAACGTTTCATTGATAACTATAAATATTGTCTTCTTTTCTGACAAAACATTCGAAAAGAAAGAGAAAGCGGTGTACATGTTATATAAGAAAACAAAAAAACCCATTTGCCAAAAATTCTTCGAAAGTAAAAGAAAAAAGATTGTGCAATTAACTGCAAGTTTATATGTAAATGAGAGAAGGTGAGTAATCGCAAATATAAAGGCGAGTACACGTTAAACAAATATGTGTAATTTTAATCTATCACATATGATGACACATCGTCTGTTTGCTTTCTGTTTATTTAAATTCATCATACAGTCAGGTTACTCAGGTGGCATATCTATAAGAAACTTAGCGAAATAAGGCGAGAGAAAAGGCCGTTATAGTTTAGTAAAGAACAGGAATTTTCAGCTATTGGTTGATATCCTCCTTAGCCATCAGTTGTTTTTCAGAAAGTTAATTCTGCACTATACACGTATAAGGCACTTATGAGGGTACATTCCCAGGTGCTGCCAGAGCGTCAAATTCTGAGCAAAATGAGACATCGTCGAGCCTTCTAGCACACCTCTAGGCTGAGATAAGACTCGCTTACTTTCAAAGATCCTGCTGATTCGAAATCCTGCTAATTCGAAATCCTTTAAGAGATTTGACAATAACTCAGCCTGGAAAGACGCTGGAAAGCCTGGGAAGATCCTATTTTACTCAGATGCGCATCCAGAGGGGGCACAGAGTAATGACGAGGTTTACTTAAAAACTGGAAACGGTTTCCAGTTACCTTCACTTCGTTCTCTTCAATTCAAGACTTTGAAAAAGAATTCGAAAGCGCTCAGTCTTTTCTCTTCACTACTGTTGTCATTGTAGAGCTTCTCTTTAAATTTAAAAATAACTATAAAAATTTTAAACAACATCAAAATACTTTTCTAGGTGTTACTAGTTGGGATTAGTGCCAGAAACGGGGCATTATTGCTTCATAGACCCTCGGCCAATTTTGGCAAGTTTTCTACTCTTCTGTATATGTAATATATAATAAAAACATTCACTTACTTGACATATCAAATAATTGTTTTCTTAATTGAGAAGACAGTTGTAAGTTGTTTGTTTTATTATATTTTTCTAAAGTGCTTAGTAAAAATCAGAAATGTGCATCTTGTAGAATAAAATATATTTTGTCCACGTGGAATAAATA